CCCCGTCCACCCTCAACCGCCAACCCCTCAGCCCCATGACCCCTAACCCCTAACCTCTCACTGCCAGCAACACCCCCAACCCCCGAAGCCCAGAGGGTCGACCATAAATCCATCGTCATGCCAAGAGCTCTGGAGTTATGGAACCTCGGGCTCCCCCTCCTTTTCCAGTCCAACTTCTCTTCTTGCTTTCCGCTTTCTGACTGGCTGTCAGTCATCTCAGAGCTCTGGTAGGAGGGGCATGTGTCACGTCCATATATCCAGAGACCAATGGGATGGTGGTGGTGAAGGGGGTTGCTGTGGGCTGCTACATGTCAGGACCAGAGTTACCTTTACGAACTTTTGCCCAAACTCCAGCTCCCAAGCCACAAACTCTATGAGAGGTTGCCAGGATTAGTGAGTAGCAGAGGAGCGGCGGTTTGATCTCGGGTGTGGATGGACAATGTGAGGCCAACGCATTCTTAAATCCTCACAGGACGAAGGGTTTTTAAAAGCTCTCTGCTTTCTATCAAGCAGAAATTCACGGGTGTTACAGCCATTTTTTCAACAAAAACCCCTGACAGCATCTCCCTGAGCACATCCAGGGTTTCACACAATGTTCTCCTAATATCAGCAGAAAAACACACACCTGTGGGTTTTTCTGGCTTCTGCTTAACCGAAGTTTCAAGAGTCCCAAAATTATGGACTTGCAGTAGTGTGTAACCTGAAAATAAAGGCCTCCACTTGTTTCCATTCCTCCTCCTTCACCCAAAAATAGATCTCAGCAGAATCGTCAACCACTGAGCTTTTTCGCTGGTGGAGAAGTGGCCACATAAGTGGAGCATTGTGGGTCTGGATGTCCTCAGGAAATGAAGTGGTTCCTCTGGGTGTGTGGATATTTGCATGTGGTGCACGGGATGAGAGTTTTTAAGTGTTCAGAAACATTGTGTGTGTGTGAGAGTGCAATGTAAGCTGGTTAAGTTTGATTAAACCTGTTGTGTCTCCAGCAAAGTAAATTACTCATTTTAACAGGACAACAAATCTTTAAACATGATGAATTTCTACAAAGTGGAATACATGCTGGAATTGATAGCTGAAAGATAATAATTTTGCTGTGTAGATGGATTATTAAAGGAGATTTCACATTTGGAAGTTCATTTAATTTGTCTGAAACTACTAAACTAGCTAATACAAAGTTTATTTTTAAGGTTTAGGAATCACACAGGAAACTTTGTGATTTCCTGATCCATCAAAAGTCCGAAGAATGGAAGATAAATCCTCTTCCTGATCACTTTTACTGGCATCTGAGGAAGTTCCTCTTCCTTGAGAAACTAACACACACAGACACAGCCTGAAAAAACACACACAGTGCTTTTATAGGTTTTGTCTCCTGTTGACAGATACATAATAACTGTCGGCTGTAATGGATGGCACTGTCACTCACAGTGTGTGTGAAAGCATGAAAGAGGGAGAATCTTCTGGTGGGAAAAAGACAAGAATTTGCTGACTCATTTTTAGTAATACACACACGCGTGCGAGCGCCCACACACACACACACACTTGGTGTCTAGTGATCATTTTAGCATTTATCTCATCGTGTGCATGATTCGTTGTGATGATTGAATTGAATTGAATTGTCTCCTCAGCACATCAACAACGACCACATCCACGGTGAGAAGAAGGAGTTTGTGTGTCGCTGGGTGGAGTGTTCCCGGGAGCAGAAGCCCTTCAAGGCTCAGTACATGCTGGTGGTCCACATGAGGCGTCACACTGGGGAGAAGCCGCATAAATGCACAGTAAGCTCGTATCCCTGTAAACTTACTGATAGCAACTAGCTGGTTAACTGACTGAGCACAGGATCATCTGACTCACTGTCTGACTGACTGGTTTCTGTATTTAAAGGCGCACTCCAGCAATTTAGTTTTGCTTTTCCATGAAGTTGGAAGACCTAAAGTCCACAGGAAAGTAAAGTGCTACTTGCTACGTGATTCCTTTAAAAATAGGCAGCTAGGGAGGGACTTGTCGCGGTAGCCAATACGCTGTGTGAGTGGTACTCCCATACAGTGGTCCTATTAGCTGACTCCGCCAAACTCGAAAGTCCCTGGAAACAGCACAGCCAGACCGGCACCAAACACATCAACCGAGACCAATTGGTGCAGTTTGACAACAGGGAATACAGTATCAAGGTGGTTTTCTTGCTTGGTTTGGCTCTTGGCACCCTGGGGCTGAGTCAGCTAATGTTAGGTGCACGACTAGTTGAGTTATCTAGCAAACGGCAGCTAACACTACAGTTAGAGTTACTTTAGCAAGTCTATCAGGAAACTCGGTAAAACACTGCTGTAGTCAATTTTATAATTAGTAATTAGTTAAATAGGAGCAGAATATGACCGGGGATGTGATCTTTCATTTCATCTCAACTTTAAGAGAGAAAGTTAAAAAACAACACCGGGTCCTACATTTCCCATAAAACACCACAGCAGCAGACGCAGACGCAGGCTTTTTGTTCTAAATTTAAAGTCTTAGACCCTGAGCTTAAATATAACATATTAATTATATAACTTTAACAACTGTCTGATTGTTATTTTTAATAATATCCTCCAAAAAATTCACAAGCAATAGGATTTTAATTGATGTATTAATCTGCATTTTATAAGTGCTGAATCACTAAAGTCCCGGGGTATGTAGGAAGATTTGACTGACTGGTTAACTGGTTAACCAACTACTGGAACTTGAACTTGGATGTTACTCAGCTACATTAGCAGCTGTACAGTCTCTACCGTACAACCCTTCCCTCTGCATCACAGAAAAAAATAATTATTTAAATAAAATGTTCATGTGATGTTCTTTGTGCTGAGCACCAGTGATATTTTCCATGTTGATAAATCATGGGGGTTTTATTGAAGCCTTCATTTGCTGTGGGAAGATCAAATTGAGGGCCTGTTTGCTCGGCTTCAAAGCCTGCTCACAGGCTCTTGTGAATGCATTAAAACAGATGACTTGTGAAAGAGAGAGTTAAGAAAGCTGATTGACAGCGTGGGTGTGTAATTAAAATCTGCAGACAAGCAGGGGACCCTGGGTCCTTATTAAGACCACGCTGTATACTCCCGGCACAAATCCCACGTGCATCTTCTCATAACACCCTAACTCCGCTTCAGTTCTTGTGTTTTAAGGGAGAATCTTCTGACTTCTATATCCCATTCCTGAGCTAGTCTAATTTGATTCTCTTTTCATTTCAAAGCCAATTACCTTCACAATGACTGCTCAGAAGGAATACCAAATTATAGCTTGTACAGTACAAGTGAATACAAAGGCTAAACACAGACTTCTCTTTGTCTCAACAAAGCACACCAGACAAAGAGCTCTACCACACCTCACACTTAGTTTAGATATTTCACATAATAGCCCTTTTTACCAAAGTGTAGCACTGCTTTGCTTTTGTGTGGCACGCCACAGTAGGTGGGCACGAGTCCAAGAGTAGATTACATTTGAAAACTGAAACACGAAGCTTTTTTTTTTTGTTGCCCAGCTCTTCTCTCTACCCAGCTGCCGACAAAACAACACAGCACTCAGTCAGTCAGTCTCACCGTCCATCTGTCTTTCTCTGTCTCTCTGCAGTTTGAGGGCTGCGCAAAAGCTTATTCTCGCCTGGAGAACCTCAAGACCCACCTCAGGTCCCACACCGGGGAGAAGCCGTATGTGTGTGAACATGAAGGCTGCAACAAGGCCTTCTCCAACGCCTCAGACCGGGCCAAGCACCAGAACCGCACACACTCTAATGAGGTATGATCGACTGACTCACTCAGATTTTATGCATTTGAGCCACAATCGGCACTCTGAAATGTAGTCAGTACAACGGGCCTCAGACAGGTCATGCTAGTTTTTTGAGAATGAGGCTACATAACGCTCCAAAGTTAGGCTAAATGTTGGCGATGCAAAAACTGGCATGGCTATTCTCAAAGGGATGCCTTGGCCTCTGACCTCAAGATATCTAAATGAAAATGGGTTCTATGGGTACCCACAAGTCTCCCCATCTACAAATATGACCACTTTATGCAAAAACAATGCAGTTTTGGACAAAAACCATGCAGTATTTTGTATGCAGTATGTTATTTTTGCCTAGGGTACTTGGATATTTGTGCATACTGGGGTCCATAAACAGGATTAAAAATGCATAAATTGGGTTTGAATGAAAAAGAGACTCTTGTGAATTCAATGAGGCCAATTGTATCAATGTTCCCAAGGATCCTGGAAAAAGCTGGGAATTTAGATACTAGTTTTCCAGGAAATTGATTGAAATGACCAAATATCCAGGAAATAATCTATGTTGTCCTGGAAATGTTTGTATTTAAGCTCCTCTCTCAGATCGCCTACGTTCTCAGAGCAGATATGTATGTTGTACCACACAAAAAAATGCAATTGAATTTCAGTTGGACTTTCAACCCTTCTTGGCAGAAACCATATGTGTGTAAGATCCCGGGCTGTACCAAGCGCTACACAGACCCCAGCTCTCTCAGGAAGCACGTTAAGACTGTCCACGGACCCGAAGCCCACGTCACCAAGAAACAACGAAGTGACGTACCACCCAGACTGCAGCCACCCAAAGGCAACGGGGAGAATGAGGCGAATTCCAAGCTCAGTGCAAGAGGCGTGGACGGCAAGATTGAGGCCAACAGCACCTCTAGAGGAGTGGAGGACTGCCTGCAAGTCAAATCTATCAAGACCGAGAACTCTATGGTAGGTCCTGATCACATAAATTCAAGAGGTCATTCTGCACAAATCTTTTATGTAGTTCATAAAAGATTTACTCACAGGAAATCTTTGTTTCTTTAAAGTCCAACCCTTATATCGTACCCCTATTTAACAATTTATGCCAAAACATTTACAAAAACTCAATTTCTTTTCATTTTGTCTTGCTGTAAAACAAAATCAATCTTTCATTAGTTGGCTAGTTAGCAACAACAAGGCTAGCTACCGGAGCTCACTGATTACTGTACTTTGTATGTACAAAAACAAAACTTAATCAGTGATTTAGGTAAAACTGGATCATATTTTATCGAAAGAATATGCTTTGCTTCAACCCCACTAACTGCTAATGTAGCTGCTTTTAGCTAACTGCAAATGTAGCTGCCATTAGTGTGCACCCAAACAGGGCTTAACAGCCTGCCAGCGAACACAAACTCCAAGACAGCAAATGGCACTCTGATTTCCGTTTCATGTGGACTAAAAATGGAGTTTGATTAACTGCATCTTGAATGAAATACCACTTTAAGCACTTCAGTGCCATCTGTTAATATATAAGGATATTAACGTGATGGCTTTGTATATTTAGGAAACTGCACACACTTGTTTTCTTACTGTTTTCCACTCTTTTACTAACACTGCTCTGAGGTTAAATCTTTACTGCTGGTACTGCCTGCATCCTTCCTAACTCACCTCTCTGGTTGTTGCTTGAACTTGCTTCTCTCAAGTTAACCTTCCTAATGGACAGACTTCACTGAGGTGAGCGCTCAAACTGTCTCTGTGTCGTCTTGCAACTCAGCATGGGAGATGTGCAAATGCGTCCTTATATTTCATTCTACATCATTGTATTCTCGCATGATGTAAAATGTCCTTTTTGCATGATTATCCATTTTCACAAATTTAGGACATTTGTATATGGGATGCACACATATACATGTATAGAGAAACTCATAAACTCTACCATTTAACTGAATTTTTCTCTTCACAAGATCACTGGCAGTAGCCCCTGCTGTCGGCTGATGATAAAAGTCATTGTCACATTAATATTCAAAGGCTAGGGCTATTTTAGAATGTGTGCTGAACAAATAGTGCCAGCATCAAGCTGTGATCAAGACTTTAGTTCATTTTCAGCCAGTTTAAATTACTGTCGCCGCTGTTTTAGATGGTTGTTCACAGAACACATCTATTATCTACTTGTTTTCTTGTTGTAAATAAATCAAAGTCATCTATAATTAATGAGATTATGGAACTACAGGCCTACATTAGTTATTACAAAACACCAATACAATCAGAATTTTTTAACTGTGGTAATTTTTTAATATTGAAGAATACATAATGTAGTTCTCTGAACTTAGCATGAGACTATTGCTTTTATTATTTTATTTTATTTATTTCTATTTTGAAGTTTTCACTTATTCTTTCTATCATTGTTGTCAGTTTGGCAGAATATTTATTTATTCGTAAAAAATTGAATAGTGTACAGCTATCATTTATAATGAAGCTTTTATAGTTTGATTCATTTCACAAGTGCTTCCTTGCTGTCCTCCTTCAGACATATCAGTCCAGTCCTGGTGGCCACTCATCATGTAGCAGCGAGCCATCGCCTCTCAGCAGCACCAACAACAACGACAGTGGGGTAGAGATGGCCATGCACAGCGGGGGCAGCTTCGGGGACCTCAGTGCACACGATGAGTGCCCCATGGTTGACTCCACTGTTTCTGCTGGCGGACAGCAGGCTGGGATGGGGCTTCAGATGAGGAAAGCTGTGGGTCATGGTTGCGCAGTTACCATCAAGCTGGAGAACATCAAGAAGGAAAGGCTGAAGACAGTGAGGGACTCCTGCCCATGGGTCAACTCTGCACCACAGCCACTGCAGGGCCAACGCAACAACATGAAGCTGCCTCCCATACCTGCAGTCGGTAAGTGGTTGAGGAAATCTGAGTCCAATAGCCAAAACTATTATATACAATAATGCTCATTCTATAACTGTTAAGAACTGTAAATTATTTGGTGACATTATTTAATAATTCCCCTTTCGTCTGCCAGGTTCCTTGCTGGAGAACTCCAACGTGATAAGTAACTTAAGCGGTTCGTACCCTGGCCAGCGCATGGGTGACCTGTCTTCATGTGAAGTAACACTGCTAAACCAGCTGAATGAACGCCGTGACAGCACTACCAGCACCCTCAGCTCAGCTTACACCATGAGTCGGCGCTCCTCCGGCATTTCACCCTGCTATTCCAGCCGCCGTTCCAGTGAGGCGTCTCAGTTTGGAGGTAACAGGCACAACAATATCAGTTCTGCCGATTCCTATGACCCAATCTCCACTGATCTGTCTCGCCGCTCCAGCGAGGCCAGCCAGTGTGGAGGTGGTGGTGTCAGTGGAGGAGGCGGAGGAGGTCTCCCAAGCCTCCTTAGTCTGACACCAGCTCAGCATTATCGACTTAAAGCAAAGTATGCTGCTGCCATTGGTGGAGCTCCACCTACTCCTCTCCCGAATATGGATCGAATGAGCCTGAGGACCCGCATGGCGCTCTACAGTGACTCTCAGGAAGGTTCATCACACCTATTCCACCAACCACCCTCTGGAAGTGTGCCTCGGCGATGCAGTGATATTGGATATGGCTCACAGAGCATGATGCCCCATGAGGTACCCAACAGCCTTCCACGCCGTGCCAGTGACCCAGTGCGTCGTCCCACACTGGACCCTCTCTCCTTTCCAAGGGTTCAGCGCTATAACAGCATGAACAGCATGAATCCCATGAATGGTCCAGCTGACCGCCACCAGGCACTGGCCATGCAGGGATACACTCGCTCTGACGGCAGTCTGCAACGCTACCCATTCGCCCCCAGACCACCTAGCATTTCAGAGAATGTAGCCATGGAAAACATGGCAGTAGATGGGATGATGATTGAGCAGACTGGGGAGGATGATATGGTGCTTCCAGATGATGTGGTGCAGTACCTCAGGTCCCAGAATTCTGGCCCCTCAGGTCACAACTCGGGGCAAGTAGATTACCATTCCAACAGTCAGACTCAGGGCTACCAAACAGGCATGCCCCCACCAGCATCATTTTATGCACAGAGGAGAATGGCCATGGTGGATGCCACAATGACTCAGTCTGGTCAGGACATGCAATCCTGTCAGATGGTTCCCAGTGGCTCCCAGCAGCCCTTCTCAGCACCATTGGAAAACATGAACAAGAACAACATGCCGGTGCAGTGGAACGAGGTGAGCTCAGGAACTGTGGACACCACAACCAAGCTCTCCAAACCACAGCAGCATCCTCTCAGAGGGAACCTAGCTGTTGCTCAGCAGAGGCACAATTTTGGTTCCTTCCAGGGACAAGGTCAAGGCCTGGGCAGCAACCAGCAGGTAGTGCCTATGAGTCAGAATATGTCTATGCAGGGCTATGTGAACCACAACAGCCAGAGGCTGATGAACATTTCCCACCAGCAGCATCAGCAACAGAGGCAATGCAACAATGTGAACTTTAGTGAACAAATGAGTCCTCAGCAAGGGTTTGGCCAAGAGGCAATCCCAAATTCTATATCTGGGAGCACTAGCATGAGGCCTACTCGAAACAGTATGGCAGATCCAGAACTGCAAAGTTACAGAGCAAGGACACAGATTGATGGGTATTCTCATGTGAACCAAGTGGATCCGCAGCAAAATTACAGTGTTCTTTCACAGCAGCAGCAGCATAATATCCATAATGGAGGCAGAGGAATGTTACAACCCAGGCCTCCCACAGAACCCAAGTCCACTGCCAGACAACATACAGGGTCTGGCATGGTGCAACCGAGCCGAATACCCAAGTTATCTGATTTGAGCCCCAGTCGTGGTACTGACACCTCAGAGGCGAGCCCAAAGAGGCCCAGTGGGTCAGCAGCCCACACCAGCAACTCTGAAAATCCAAACACTGCTGTGTTCTACACAGGTCAGATTCATATGTTTGAGCCAACTTCTGTCACCTTTGATGCCCCCATGTCCCCCTGTGCCAACCAGGCTCCTGCCAGCAACACCACTGCGCCAGTAAACATGGCCTCACCAGGAGTCAACCTGGTCTCCAGCAGTACGGTGGATTCTTCCACTGGTGGATCTGGTGGCACGGAGCATGCCCAGATCGACTTTGACACCATGCTAGATGACGGGGACCACTCCAGCCTAATGTCGGGCACCCTAAGTCCTGGCCTTCTTCAGAGCCTCTCCCAGAATTCCTCACGTCTCACCACCCCCCGCAACTCTGTCACCCTTGCGTCTGTTCCGGCAGGGATTGGCAACATGGCCATCGGTGACATGAACTCTATGCTCACAGCCTTGGCTGAAGAAAGCAAGTTCCTCAACATGATGAGCTGAGAGCAAACAAACACCTTATCATCCATCCAGTCTTAACCATTTCTACATCAGGACAACACAAGAGAGCACTGATTGAACAATGCAAAACTGGCTATTTCATACATTTCATACATGAGTTTTCCTCATTGTCCATAGTAATGTGCTTATTTTGTAATATTTGCTTCAGATTATAATATGTTACATTAAAAAAATTATAGTAAGTATAACTAGGGTCAAGGACAATTTTCTATCATTATTTGTTAAAAAGCCATACATTTTACCAACAAATATATGATAGCCCAGGGTATATAAATGCATCTACAACCAATTGCCATTCAGTATTTGCTTGTGTAATAGCCCTTTACAAATTGGTGCACTGAAAACAGTTCCCATAGTACCTTGCTGAGGACATCATCTGAGAACGACATGAAAACAGAGTTACAAGGAAATGGACAAGATATGTAGATAACAGATCATATTTTCTCATGAAGACTTTATATGTATAGATTATACTGTATGGTACTTGCTTTAAGTTATGCTATAGACTTTTGATGTTTAAACTGGGGCTGTCAAAGGTAACAGTAACATGTGAACACCCACTATTAATTCAAAAAGGTAATAATGATTACATTTTTAAACTCTATCACATTGTTCATACATGTATAAATTGGTACATGCCTATTATTACAAAAACACTAACTGCTATTGCAGTTTTTACAATATATGCACATACACATGCATATATGCTATTGTAGCAGCCTGTCTTGTGCACAACCTGTTTTGTGCTGCTTTCAATGACGCCTAGATTTTGCAACGAAGGTTATTTGTAAATCTGAGCAAATTTCTTGAAATAGAGAATGCAATTAACACCATTCAACAAGAAGTTTGTGACTAATTGTAATTCACAAAATGAAGAATTTGGCAGCCCTAGTTTAAACACGTGGTTGATCAACATTATGATCCACAGATATTAAGTGCTTTTTGATCATAGTCTGAGCTCCTGGGGATGGCACTGTAAAATCAGATTTCCTTCTCTGCCCTCTGCATCAGAAGCGTTAACTCTCCATGGTCCCATCTCACAAGGGTAAATGATTGAAAAGGACAAGGATATGCCTCCGTGTTAAGTCTATCAGGGCACATGAACCCCTGTGTCTGATGAGGAGCATTCTCTGAAAGAATATACAAGTACCTCTGTGTGTTCTCAGTAGAGATCCAATCCTAATTAACACATTCATACCACCCCCCCACCCCAGCGCTGCACCCCATACTTCCCCTGGGCTCTGGATGAACTGCAGAGAGTCCAGGAAGGGACACAGACTTTGATAATGAAATCCTGTTTCGGACAGGATTGCTGAACTAGCCCTGCAAATTCCTCAGTTTTATTATGTTTGCTGAATTTCTAAGTAGCCTTTAAAATGTTTGTGTATGCTACCATTCACTTTTACTATGCTCAGTGTGTGTGGGTTTGTGTGAGTGTGTGTATATAGCTTTTGTACATTTCAAATAAACTATCTCCTTTTTTTCTGTTTAAATCCATGTGTTGTGTCGTCTTTGATATAACATGATCTGCGATCCCTGGTGGACACATGAAAGTAGTGCTTATACGCTACAAGTGAGATCGTATCTGGCACATTCTCAGACTGCCTTTGAGCACAGCTCTGAGGGCAAACACCAGTATACTCACTGTAACTCCAGCAGCCGTATGTATGAAGGGATGCACACATAAAGAGAATTCTGAGCACCACATATTAATTAACACAACGTTGATTTGAAAAGATGGTGTGTGTATATACTGTAAAAGTTGAATTACTAGCCCAGGCTTTTATTTGCTTCAGTCACCGAACTCAACCTGCCTTTATTTGGGACAGGCCTTTAATTCCTTTTGCACAAAACTCTTGCTGGAGATACTATCAAATTGTTTATTTAAATGATTGAATTTAACCGATATAACGAAGTGTAGCATGTCCATATTGACAAAATTGTGAATATTTATATTTGTGCAGGCGATCTAAGCAGCTTAGAACTCGCTCTAGTAGGGGACTCAGTTGGTTTTAATAAGTTTTATATAGCCAGGCTAGTAAAGGAGACCTGCTTCTAATCGGGACAGGGTTTCTAATTGAAGTTTTACAGCTGTCCAACGAGTCAAATCTTTTTTGTCAGTTCCAAAACACTGAGCAATACTTGTACTTTATATGTTGTTTGTTTTTTTAAATTGTAATCACATCTTGCAAATTATATTGGTTTATAATTGGTATATTAGCAATAATATTCATTATTAACATTGTGATGACAAGGACCTTGGAGCAATGCTTTTGGAGCTCTGTCTGTGTTTTTATTCACTATCTAAAGATCTCTATCTCGATTATCTAGAGTGCTGTTTCAGTTAAAATCCCACACGGCATTCAAACTATATATTTGGAAAGTGAGATTTTAATGCCAGTGTTCCTTAAATGAAGCATCTTATTTTCTTATCCATGCTTTGGCTTTGTTCCCAGGTCCTCAGAAATTTATTTGCAGAGATCTGAGGATGCGAATCAGAGAGACTTCGGTCTGCTGTAAATACCTTTTCCTTTTGCAGAGCTATGTCTTGGTTCACATTTTTAACAAAGATAACGTAACATAGATATAACACCATAATTGTATGCACATTCCTTTCTTTTTAGGTTGATCTGTTATAACCTCAGTGCATACAGAATCCTTCAATAATAGAGGAGCAACATTCATTCTGCTTTGAAGCCCTGTCTCTCCTCTGCATACATTTGTGTATATTCCTTACTACTCTGCTTACGCAAAGATAATGTGTTACTTTCAGTCGCTGTGCTGTTTACCCATGATTCTTTGCTCTACATATCAGAGCAAAAGGAGAAGAAACTCCACTCTGAAAACCCAGGTGAAAAAGGATACTCCATACGCACAAAATGCATACAGAGCAGTTTCTAAAGTTAGATGGCATGTTGTCCAAAACTAACAGTGGCAGGCCGGCCCTGAAGAAAATGGGTCTGAGAGCAACATAAAGCAGGAAAGAAGAGAGAGGAGACAAGGTGGTGCAAGAAAAAGGAGAGGAAAATCAGGAGAAGGAGAGCTACTGAGTTGGAACAGAGTGAATCTAGTAAGAGGTGGGAAGTGGGAGAGAGAGTAAAGAACAGAGAAAGGGCTATAAGGAAAGATGCAGAGTGTTAAAAGACGGAGAACAAATCACTTTTAATTTGACAGCAAATTCAGCTGGGGACTGGTTAGAAGTAGAGCCCAGTGATTGCTTTTGCCACTGGAATTCCTTATTCTCTTAGAGAGAGGATGGAGAAAAATAGCCCCGGGGTAAGGAGTCCCACCAGAGAGGAGAACAAGAGGTTAGTGAGGCAGAAATGGATGATTACACAAAGCACACAGATGAGGAGAGATGGCGTGCTCTGAAGCTCACAGCTTCAGACATACAGTGTAACCATACGTGAAAAAGTGAAAGAAATCAACCTGTTTCCTTGACAATGCTTAAAATAACTGTAGACCTTAAAGTTGAGAGTGAGTGAGATTTTATCTGTTTGAGACGCCTGATTTTAAAGCTGCATGAAGCTTTTTGGAAGTGGTGTAACAAGCTAAAAATTCCATGTTCTGGCCTTATAAAGTTTGCCTGTTAATACAGCAATAGAGACGGAGCAACAGTCGTTTTGAATCAATATTCAATATTCACTCTCCTTTTAGCTCTGTTTTTGGTCTCCACCAGCTCCTGAGAAAAATATCTAGCTCTTATTGTTGCTAAATTCAGTCTATTTGCTAACTTTGTCTATATTTGTCTGCCTTTTGCTCGCAGGTACAGTGGGTTATTTAGGTTCACTCAGATTTTAATGATAACTCTGGTACTGTGCAGAGAGGTACTGTTGTTTATCATAAATCTGATTACTTCATAGCTGCGTTCTTTCTGCCACTGCCCTCCATCTTGAAGTAAATGCAAAGGGACGTTCGTCTCCAATACCAAAAATTAGCAGCTTCCCAGCTGAACTAGACCTCTGTGGGGAGCAAAGACGACAGGTAAATAAGAAATAATTACATTTTTATGACCCCTGAATCAATTTTTCTCTTTTTCTTTTTTAAGTTAACAAGAAGGGAACTATATCGGAATTTCATTCTATAACCTTACATTGTAAATAATAACATAATCCTGAATCCTTGAATTTCATAATTTGTTCATATAAAAATATTGATTAGTGCAGCTTTAAAGATTGAATGTCAGTAGTAAAACCCTTCACTCTGTCAATGTCAATTCCCATTTAAAGCTGCACAATAATGTAAGTCTCATTATTATCAAAGATCTCAGAGATGTGGTGAGGAATCCCCTTCCTCTCGGCTCAGCTTTCCGTGTTGGCCAACATCTCACTGCGAGGCTCTGAAGTGCCGCTGCCCGTTAAGACGAAGGCATTCGGAAGAAGTCAGCTATTGGTTGGTGACATTCGTACCCCACACCGTGCCCGCTACCAGACAAAACAACACGCGTCAGAGGACCAGAGGGTCAAGTGGATGACAGACTGCTATCCTCAGCTGACCCACAATGGAACAAATGAAATCCGCAAAGATCGAAAATAGATTCACTTACAGTGAAGTGCTCATAGATTGAAAATGCAAGCAGCAGGAAAAGGTTATTGTTGGGAAACTTTGAGATTTCTCGCTTTTACAGTGCTTCAAGAAAGTAAAGTTCTTAAAAAAAGCAGTAGTATTACTGAGATGGATCCTTGCTTTGATTATCTAACTTTTGTGTCTCTCATTAGCCATGCTAGTGTTGTCCCTCTAACTAAAGAGGGGAGAAATAATCACAAAAGATATGAGATGTGTGTCTCTTGCGCGAGCTTTACTCGAAGAGCTGTATGAAATGCTAACAAAAATACAAACAATTTACCATCACTACAGGAAAGATCAGAAATACGAAATGCTCATGAAGTGTAACAAAAAATACAACAGTTTTACACACTACAGAAAGATAACAAGAAAACAAAAAATGAGGAAACGGGACCTGCACACACCACACACACACACCCGGTAAACTAATCTGCCGTACACACACATACACAGCAGAACGCGGTTTGGGCGGATAAAAAGTAACAGAAACACTATGTATATATTCTTAACATGTCAACAAGTTACTACAGACAAAACGACTCAGTTTCACATACACAACATACCTAAAGAGGGGAGAAATAATCA